TTCAAGATGCTTTAAGTTCAGGAGATAGTACAACAAACGTAGGGCAACGAATTATATTACCGTCAAGTTTTACAGGTGGGCCTCAACAAAATGCATAAGTTGTACCAGGATGGAATGGCTATTGTACGTGCTTTCGGAAAACCAGACCTATTCATTACAGTAACTTGCAATCCAAACTGGCCCGAAATTAAAAATACACTCCTTCCAGAACAAACCGCGCAAGATCGTCCTGATCTAATTAGTCATGTTTTCAACATGAAATTAAAAGCAATACTAAAAGATATTTTGAAAAACGATATTTTTGGAACAGTGGTAGCCTATCTTTATACAATAGAATTCCAAAAACGTGGACTTCCACATGCCCATATTCTTCTCATCCTTGCTCAAGAGCATAAGCCAAAAACCGTTGCAAACTATGATACAATAGTATCTGCAGAAATTCCTAATAACATCAGTGATCCTGATACATTTGCAACTGTACAACGATCAATGATGCATGGACCATGTGGCATGATCCTGCCAAATGCACCATGTATGAAGAACAAAAAATGTACTAAAGGATACCCACGAGGATTTCAAGAAAATACTGCAGAAAATGAAAACGGTTATTCTGTTTACAGGCGGAGGAGTCACGGCCCAACTGTAAATGTAAAAAGAGAAGAAAAAACATTTCAATTGGACAACCGTTGGGTGGTACCATATAATCCATATCTCGCAACTAAATATGATTGTCACATCAATGTAGAGATTTGCTCTTCGATTACCGCTGTAAAATATCTCTTTAAATATGTATACAAGGGCCATGATCGCGCAACTGTAGAAATTGGAAGGAGTGTGCAAGAGCAAGGGCAAATGGATGATGAAATACGTCTCTTTCTTGATGCTCGCTATATTTCAGCATCAGAGGCATCATGGAGAATATTTCACTACCGTCTGCATAATGAGAAGCCGGACATAATGCAGTTACATGTTCATCTTCCAGGAAAACATAGAGTGATTTTTAGAGATGATGAGCCTTTGGAGGATATAATCAATCGTTCCAATACTGAGAAGACAACTCTCACAGCTTGGTTTGAGGCCAATGCAATGTATCCAGAGGCACGAAGGCTTGCTTATACAGACTTTCCAACTCAGTGGGTATATGATAAACGGACCAAAAAATGGAAACCGAGACAAAAAGGTTAGAGATAAAATGATTTTAATATGTACTATACTTATAATTACTTAATATTGCATCCATTTTTTTACGTATTAAGTAATTAAGTTAAAAAAAAAAAAAGGCTTACAAATGTATTACCATATTTCGTGCCCTCTACTGTACAATTTTTACATCTTTAACGTCGGCCTGTTACTATTATATTTGTGCAGATTTTGTGCTTATATCATAGTGCTACTTATGTTAGTACAATATTGATAACAATAAATTACAATTAACGTTAAAAATAAGCTGGTAAATATTTTACAGGGGAGGGTGGTTTAGTCCACGAAATACGGTACTGGTCGGCAAATTTTAACATCAGAATTATGTCTTTCAAGTTACATTTGTGAATCGTAACAGTCGTAATAAATATGTTAATTAAATAACGATATATTAAAATAGTTAAGGATTAAAGAATAGATATTGCTTACATAAATTATTACATTGCCCATCCCTAAAAAAAGGTAATACCATCGGTCGTGTATACTTTGTTCATCCTGCGGCAGGTGAACGATATTATTTATGAATACTGCTAAATGTGATTCGTGGAGCAACTTCTTTTGAAAATCTTCGCACAATAGAAGGAATAACCTATAACACTTTCAAAGAAGCATGTATAGCATTAGGCTTATTGCAAGGTGATGAAGAATGGAATCAATGCTTAGCAGAAGCTGAACAAATACAATCAGGAGCACAATTACGTTATTTGTTCGCAACTCTACTGATATTCTGCAACCCAACTAGACCTGAAATACTTTGGGAAAACCACATTTCAGCACTCAGTGATGATATTTTTTTTCAAGTTCGCCATAAAACGGGAGATATGACGCTTGAGCTTATGGATGCTGATATACACAATAGGGCCCTTCATCATCTGCAAACTATCTTAAACAGACACGGAAGACGTCTTGATGAATTTCCGAACATGCCCCTCCTTACTGCTTTTCTTAATAATGAATAAATTAATCATTTGATAAGTGAAGAACAACAATATGATGTAGAAGAACTTACTAAACTTATTGAAAATGATCTTCCCCGCCTAAATATGGATCAGCGAGCCGTGTATATAAATGTTATTGCCGCTGTAGAAGCTGAAATTCCTTCTGTTTACTTTATTGACGGTCCAGATGGAACTGGAAAAACCTTTCTACACAGGCAAGAAAATTATTTCCAGGACCTATGATTTTCTGTGGTGATATTTATTTGTTTTAAGAATAAATAAATATCGCCACAAAAAACATCGACCCTGATTATTTACACTTATACAACATTAACTTACTAATTTATTATATAGTATTTTACTCGCAAAGGTCCGCCTGATGGGATATATTGCACTCGCCGTTGCTTCCTCGGGCATTGCTGCTCTTCTTTTACCAGGTGGCCGTACAGCTCATTCCCGATTTAAAATCCCTTTTGATCCACAAGAAGGCTCCACCTGTTCTGTGTCTCATGGTTCCGACTTAGCCTTACTACTGCAGCAAGCACGTTTTATTGTGTGGGATGAAGCTCCAATGGCACATAGATATGCATT